CATCTTTGAGGGTTATTATTCTGCCTACCACAACACTATTACTTGTTTTGATTTTCAAATTAACCCAGATTTGGACAGTGGGAGCTCCTTTAAGCTTTCATATCCTTTGCCATGTCACTGTCATTTTTGGAATACTTCCTTGTTTTCTGGCATAATATGTTATAGGATCATCTTTAATTTTCTTATTCCTTTAACTTTTCCTTGGAAGCAGCCATTTTCTCTAAAGATTGATTCCCTTTACTGGAAAATCATATTTTGAAGCCAAGGTCTGAGCTGTAGGTATGTTCATGTTATTGAGGTGTCACCATTCCTAGTTCTTCTCTATGTACAGACCAACAGAATATATGTATGTCCATATGTGCATACATACCTATCTATCTGCTGCCTGCTTACCTAACTAGTTAGCTAGCTAGCTACATCCATCTATCTATGTAGATATTAAAATTAATTTATACCAATACCTCCAATTCTAATCCAATACCATGGTGTTTATTCTAGTATTTGTAATTCCCTTTTGTGACATTGAAAAAGCTATTTCCCATTATCCTTAATATGTTTTATTTGTTCAGTTCCCCTGTATATAACCTATCTCCCATTGTCACTCCTTGCCTACATTTATGTCCTCCTCACCATAAGTGGGTTCTGACATCCCATGTTGGCTCTTCCTGTATGTGAACACTCCTCATTCTCTTCATCTAGGGTATCCCATGTGAGGCTATAGGATACTTTCCTTACTCTGCTTGATTTGCAACTCCCCACACCAGGTTAACTCCCCTCTGTGGATTTCTTCCTTACACTGCTTAGTTTCTGCCATCCTGGGACAGGCTGCTCTTTCTTTCTTTGTTCCTTGAGATCTCATGCCGGATTGCTCTTCCACGGGAACCCCTCATCGACTTGATTGGGTTTTGACACCTCTAGTCCTGGCTACCACTCTGTGAACACTGTTTTCATCCTGTTTGAGCTCTGGCACATTACCCCTGGTCATCCTTCTGTGGAGATGTTCTCTCTACCCTACAGAGGCTGTGAATTCCCCATGCCAGACTGCTTCTTTGAGGGTATATCTTCTTCACCTTTTGGGCCTCTAAAACCCTATTCTGGACGACTCTTCAAAATGAATGACCATCACCCTGTGCTTGGGGCTATTGATGTCCCTTCATGTGACTTCCTTTCTGACCTTGCCTCAAGATTGATAAATGGCCTTTCCTTTCCTGCTTTGTAGACACCTTCCTTATTTTGCTCAGCCTCTGATTTCTCAGACCGGGCAAATCCCCCCCGCCTGTATGACACTCTCCTCAATTTGCTTGGACTGTAATCCTCTGTACCAAGCCACTCTTCATGTAGGATTCTGGTATTCCAGTACCCAAGTGTAGAGCACTGTTCTTCCTCTCTACCTTGCTCTGCTCCACCTAATGGCTTTAGGACTGTCAGGAAAGGAAGGGGAATGATGAGTTTTTTCTTTTTTAATCTTTGTTAATTTGATAAAGTTCTTGTTTTTTCATTTTCTTATCTGTTATACATTACAGATATTTTGTTCTGCATTCATCTTTAACAATCTATCTCACTACATTATGTACACCAGTGTAATATAGGTATTTTAAATTAGTCTTGAGGGCCGGTTAGCATGTTATGCCATAATTTTACTGTCTATGGATCTGTTGCTAGTTTGAGTAACTTCAGTATTGTTTTGCTATATTTTATTGAGTCTGTATTTGTCTGATCTTATGTCATATATGCTTTTCTATTTGTTTATACTTGGCAAGTTCTGATCAGCCACTGCACCTGTAAAGACAATGCTCATGGGATTTCCTTATTGACCATTCTCAGTTTGAATGTTTTGTTTAAACTTACACAAAACACTTTGTGCTTTGCTAACATTTTCTAAGCTCTACATAGGTCTTTTCTCCTCCCTTTAATAATATAATCCCTCATTGCAAGGAAGATTATTTCAGGAAAAGTATATTTTACATCAGTTGTATAACAGACTTTGAGGTTATTAGCAGGTCTAATTACATAGTCTGTGAAACTTTTAAGACCAATATCAGTCTTAGCAGTTGTATTTTTCTTAACGCAGTTTCAGTGAAACTGGTGTTTTTCCTTTTCACTCACATTTAGAATCATCCTGTTAACTAACAGTTACCATAATTATTTGTCACCCTTTGGAAATCGTTGTGTCCAAAGAAATGTAGAGGCTTCTGACAAATCTCAGATGGAGTTTATATTTGTATAGAATTTTATTTTAATGTGTAGAAATATCAAGCATTTTCCTCAAAATTATAAGAGACTCTATTTTTTTAAAATTATTTATTTAACTTAGTTTCAAGTAAACGGTACATTGGTTAGACATCTATATAGTTCATAAAACTATCCCAATTGCTGTCTCCCTCCCCTGGCCCTCCACTTAGCCATTACATTAATGCTAACTGCGTTCCCTATCCTCATGACCATCTATCAACTACTAATTTGTACTTCTTTAACCCTTCACTCCATTCTCCCAGTCCCTCACCACCCCCCTCTGTCTATCACCAAATTATAAGGGACTCTTTAGTTACACTGTAGGGGTTGATTTTGTTTTTTTTCTATCTATATTTCTTATTCAGGATGTACCCAGTTTTCTCTTTTTGGCAAGGGTATAGAGATCACTTTAAACTCTATCCGTAATTGTCAATTTTGAAAACACATGAGAAGCAGGTTACCACCCTTTCAATCTCTGCTAATTCTGATACTGGTATAATTGTTCATACATCTTGGATGTGAGCATGGAGTGATTTGATCAAGTATGTCAAAATTCTAACTTTTAGCTGTGTAGAAAATTCTGTGTAAAACTTGAGATATGTTTTAAGTGACTTGTTATTTAAAAAGCTGTAAGAAATGTAGAAAACTGGTATTACACAACTTCCTATTAGTAAACTTACTGGAAACTTGACTGATACTGATTTTGGAGTTGTTTACAGTTGGGTCAAAGTATAAAAGTACTGTATGCCATTATAGTGTTGCTGAAAACACCCTCTGTTTCACATTTCTGTATCTTAAATTTCTACTCTAAATCTATATTAGTCAAAGTTTTATCATTTTAGGGGATATACCTATTTTAAACCTCAAGAATATTTATTGCCAGGTTGCTTTTACCCTTTCATATGATACATCAGTAACCCACAAATCAGTAAATCCAATAAGGACTATTTTCATTTAGCACTTCTGCTTATCCTTTTCAGTGGATAATCAGGCCGATGTCATGTTTTGAAATATTTCAGTTATAACTAAAATGAAAGCGATACGATGTTTTGGAACTTAGGGCATTATTAGCATTTTTTAAATGAATATTTAGATAAAATTTAAGGAATATTCCTTAATTTTAGTTCGTATAGAATAAAATTAGGAAATTTTATATTAAAAACCATTTATAAAATTAGTTGAAATATTGTTTGTGAAATTTCAAGGGTGTAAATTCACATGAAATCATTATCATCTGCATTTATAAATGTATCTTGAGTAGATACACATAAGCTTAATATTTCTTTCCACTTTATCTAAGTGACCAGTGATTAAACATTTTAATCTAGTTATTATAGTTTCAAAGATAATTCAAAAAATAGGTTTTATAAAGTATATTCTTTGTTATTCACTAGAGATTTCATATTTTTGTAACTAGGAATATATTTTACCTATTTATTGTACAAAGATTCAACTGCCTCATCTTTAGGGGCTGCCACTTTAAGGACAGGCAGATAAGAATCTCTGTAAGTTTAATTGTTAGGCTTTAGTTGCTGTCCATGTTGTAAGTGCGGCTGGTGCCCAGGGGAGGGTTAAAATGATTTTGAACCAACTGTCAGAGCATGGCTTCCCGGAATGTACTCCTGTTAAGTAAAGGGTCAAGTCCACAAACATGGGTACTTCTAGTATCTGTCACCTGGTTATTTCCTACAGTCGATTAATTTAAAGGACTTGTGCTGATTGTTTTATTCACTTATGACATTTAATCTCCACAACAACCCAATAAAATAGACATTGTTATTATTCCTGTTGTAGAAATGAGGAAACTGAGACTGATAAAAGTTAAATAACGTACTCGTAGTTTCATAGCTATAGAGTGGCCTATCTAGTTGGAACTTAAATGTTTTACTCTTAACCATATGGTTTGCTGTACTATTTCTCCACATTGATATGAACTTTGTTGACCCATGTAGTCATTATTTGCTGTATTAATTTAGAATCTGGGCATCTTATAAAGGAAGTTTATTCCCTGATTTTAATCATATCAGAAATTCTTTAATTTCTGGCTCTCTCTTGGAGACTTAGTGATTAACTAGAAAAAAGTTATAACCAGCTTTTTAAAAGACTTAATATTTGATTTTGACCAGTTTTATTAAAATAAAACTGCAAAATTATTTGGAGAACCTGGGCTATTAAAAGACTGAACAGAAATAACTGGTTAGTTGCAAGATAATAATTTCCCCACTTAATGGTTAATGTTAACTTTCATCAATCTTTTTTTTGTTTTTGTTTAGAATCAGCATTAAAAATACTTTCTCAATTTTGATTTTTAGCTGTCTTAAAAATAAGCAATAATTATATATATATAGTGAATTGTAACTTAAAATTGAGGACATAAAAAGACTGGAAGGAATTGTAATTGTTGCATTTTTAAACTTTCAGGGACTTTAAAAATTTAAAGCTGATGGTTGATGAAAGATGCTCCTTTCGTTCATTTTCTGAGCTTTTAAAATACTTCTAAATTAAAAATATAATTTAAAAAAATGATTTGTTTAATCTAACAAATCAGATATAGAGTCTTGTTTTGTTTGACCAGCAGAGTGAATTTTTAAAAGTAATGGTTAATTGTTTCAAATTAATTCCATTTAAAATTAGACGTTCTGTATCAACTGTTGTATATAATCTGGAATCGTGTGCTTACACATAACACCCAAACTGATATGTTCTTTTTTTTTTTGCTTCACAGGAGCCATCTAGAACAGTTTCAGGCAGATACAAAAGGTAAGAATCCTTAAGTTATGACTTACAGCATAGTGTAGACTTTAGTGCAATGTCTGTCTCACCATGGCTTAACCAACTAGAACTGTTTCAAGCAGCTTTTTGAATAAGAAAAAGCCTTAATCTTGTGCTTTTAAAAATAAATTACACTGTAGGCAGGAGTGTACTGTCTGTCTAACCATAACTTATTCTAACATACATTTTAGCCTTTGAAAACTGCGCACCATGGATTTGTATGGGCTTGATGAACTTATTTAGCAAAATAAAATCTTAGAATCATTTTCCCTTATGCATTTAAACATTGAAAACATACCTGTTTGTCTGCTTGGGCTGTTATAACAAAACAACGTAGATAGTTTGGCTTAAGCAGAAATTTATTTCCTCACAATTCTGGAGGCTGAAAGTCAAGAGACCAGAGTGCCGATTTGGTCAGATTCTGGTCAAGACCCTCTTCCAGCTTGCAGACTGACAACTTCTTGCTCTCTCCTCACATGGTGGAAGGGGCGCGGGAGCTCTGTGGGGTCTCTTTTATAAGAGCACTAATTCCATTATGAGGATTCTACCTTCATGGCCTAAGTACCTCTCAAAGGCCCCACCTCCCGCATTGGGCATTAAGATTTCAACATACAAATTTTGGGAAGACACAACATTCAGACCATAGCAAGTCCATAGTACCACCTCTAGACAATACACGATGCTTTTACCAGGAAAAGTGTTTTGAGTGTGTGTACACATGTATAGGAAGAAAATTAGAATTACGTATGAGAAGCTGTTTAATGGAGATACTTGCTTGGGATATTAGTTTCCTTCTTTCCCGTTGAAGCCATAAAAGTTGGAGAAGGTGTAGTCATACTTGGGCTAGTAATCATAGAATAATTACAAATCTTATCAAGTGCTTATAATGTCAAGGTGCTTTACATAGAGATCCCATTCAGTTCTCACAATTTTCTTATAAGGTACAGTATTTACTTTCATTTAATAGATGAGGGAAGTGGAATTGAAGAGGTAGAATAATTTCACTGGGGTTGCAAAGCTCTAGTCAACAACAGAATCTAGATTTGAACTCAGGCCGCCTGACTCCAGAATCTATATGCTTGCCCAAAACCATCCACTTAGTTTTATACATATGAGACCTTTGTTTTTCTCTGTGTATGTTAAAGTTTAAAGTATTAGGTTAAAAGTTTTGGTTATTTTATTCCATTTAAAATAAAACATTGGTTAAGAGGAGCTCTAATTTTAAATAAGTTACATATAAATATAATTCAATTTTGAATTTTTACCATGGGCCATATATCTGTTAGTGGTAGAAAGAAATAAGAAGGCTAAGATAATCAACAAATAAGTCAGTCTGAAACTGCTTTAGTTGAACACTTAATATGTTTGCTACTGCTTTTGTTTTCATTTCTGAGTAATTTTGATTTAAGTATAATGAAACTTGTGATTGAAGCTTCTAACATTTATACATCGCTTAGTAATTTTTACATAATGTGAATAGTGTAAACTGGGAAGAATCTCTTCTCTCTTGCAAGAAATCATTGCCAGTTAAATAGCTGTGATTTGGCCTATTTTCAGGCCACATTCTCAAACCAAAAGTTTTCACCATCAGTTTTGGTTTGTGGAATAAAGATAAACTTAAGTAACTTGTCAAGTTTGTTGTATGAATTACACATGTTTAGTTTTTATTAAATAATAAACCATAAATTATGATTGACATTTTTCAGATTTTTGTTTTTTTAAATTTATTTTTCAGTTACAGTTGACATATTAATTTCAGTGATTAGATATTTATATACTTTATGAAGTGATCACCCCAATTAATCTAATACCTATCTGACATCATACATCAGATTTGTATTCTTTAATTAGCATCAGTAGGGGAATAATTTTCTTATAAATTCTTATCAAAATCTTTGTTTACATATCATTGTGTTAAATCAGGAAGAAAATTGGTTTTCCATGGTGTACGTTTGTATTTTTAAGCCTTTGAGAACATTATTTTGTGACCTATTTTGTATACTTGTACTTTTTAAAAATTTTCATAGCCTAGAGCATGTGGTTTGCTGCTTTTTAGCTTTCAAAGCTTTAGCTCTGTTTAACAGTGTTGTAAGACAAAAAATTTTTGTAAGTTTCTAATCATTATTCACTGACTCGCAGCAACTTGTATTTGGAATACTGTATAAAAAGAAAACAAAAGAATATTTACAAAAAACATAAGACCTAGTATCTATACCTGAAATGATCAATTCTCTATCTAGAGGAATTCATTATACTATATATCAGATTCATTATACTGTACAGTTTATTATTTTTATTAATCTAACAGCAAATTGTAGCAATGACTAAAGCATGGATGTTTCTTGGTGACGGTATCTGCTGACAAATGGGGATCAAAATAAGAAGGAATGGGCTAGAGGATAGAAATTAGCATCATTTGTTAGGAGATATTGTCAGTAAACCAAATAACTCATGATATATGTACAGCTAGACAAACTCTTAAAAAGTCATTAGAAGGTATAAGCACCCACAAGACAAGTTTATATATGTGCTGTTATAAATTGTGAATTAAATGTTTAAAAATTTTTTGACAAGTATCAAGAATGTGCTTTTTTGAGCATTGAGTCTATTACATACTCTGTCTAGTTATGCTATGCAGTAGTCCCACCTTATCCACAGGGGTCACATTTCAGGACCCCTTGGGGGATGGATGCCTGAAACCATGAATACTGAACCCTGTCTGTACTATGTTTCCTCCTATACTTACATACCTATGATAAAGTTTAATTTATAAATTAGGCACAATAAGAGATTAACAACAATAACTGCTAATGAAATAGAATAATTATAATAATATACTAAAATAAAAGTTATGTGGATATCTTTTTGTACTGTACTCATGCTTCTTCTTGTGATGATATAAGATGATACAATGTCTACATGATGAGATGAAGCGAGTTGAATGATGTAGGTATTATGACGTAGCATTAGGCTACTATTGACCTGATGATTCTTAACAAGCACTTTATGGCTTCTCTATGGCATATCCGAATTGCCAGCATCACTACTCTTGTGCGTTGGGGCCGTTATTAAGTAAAGTAAGCATTATTTGAACATAAACACTGTGATATCTCGACAATTGCTCTCATAACTTGAGAAGGCTACTAAATGACTAATGGGTGGGTGAGTGGTGTCCATAGAGTGGATACACCGAACAAAGGGATGAGTCACATCCTGGATGACATGAGATTTTATCACACTACTCAGAATGGCTTGAAATTTAAAGCTTATGAATTGTTTATGGAATTTTTCATTTAATATGTTGAGAACGTGGTTGACCACACTTGATCAAAACTGCAAAAAGTGAAATTGTTGCTAAGGAGGACTACTATATTTTATTGAATCGACTCTTATCTAGAACATATCTGATGTATTCACTGATTCCCTTTTTAAAACATGTTTAAATAACTTTGAGGAGCTACAGTCGTCCCTTAGTATATGCAGGGGATTGGTTCCAGGACACCACTTGGATACCAAAATTTGGGGGTGCTCAAGACACTTATATAAACTTCTACACATTCTCCTGTATACTTTAAATCATGTTTAGATTATTTAAACCTAGGACAATGTAAATGCCATATAAGTAGTTGTTATCTGTATTGTTTAGGGAATAATGGAAAGAAAAAAGTCTACATGTTCAGTATAGATGCAATCATCGTATGCCTAACTACTACATCGTATGCCTAAGTACATCTTAGCAACAATGTAACATTTTTTCTGATTCTTTTCCATTTGCTGTTGGTTGAATTTGTGAAATGAAACCCTCGGATATGGAGAGCTGAATGTACTTGGAGGTATGGGGATCATGAAATTTCTGAAACTCGAGGTTTAGGAAAGATAGATCAAAGTCATGAATTTTTTTTTCCCCCAAAATTTCCTTAATAGAATATTCACTTGGTTAAGTTTATAATGCATTGATTAAAATTAAAAAATTTAAAGGCAAGACAGGTTGTTAGATAGATGCGTGGCTATGGATAGGATACCCTGCTTGATATGATATCTAAATAAAACTTTCATACATTAAAAAAAAAAAAGGGACAAGACAATTCTGAATGACTTGCAAAGGTCAGGATTAACTAAGGTGTATAATTTACCATTCTTATTTAAAGCATATAATTTAACCATTAAGAATGGCACCGATTTAAAAAAAACATGGGAAGCAAGTTAAGACAGATACTAAATTTTATTCTCACATTGTAATTAACTGGTCCTTTTGTTTTCATGAATATTTTTAATACAGTATTAATTATTAAGTAACATGCAAAATCATAAGTGCTTCTAAGTCATCCTCCCCTACAGTAACATTAATAGGCTACCTTTATATAGCTTTAAGTAGCTTTTAATGATATGCAAAGTGCCTTCACATACCTTACTCAGCAGTAGGTCCAATTAGGCAGCCAGACAGGCATCTTCTTTCTAAAATGAGGAAAAAGGCTTTAGTTCTCTGAATCCTTTATTATATCACATTACCTCTAAACAGAAATTAATTAACAAGAGAGGAAATATTTTCTAAAGTTTTTGAAGTTTTAAGTCTTTTAGGTTATAAGGGAGAGAAGTTTTTGTTTTTATAAAGAGCATCAGACATATCAGGATATGACTATTAGAAAGAATTAACGTTATCTTAGTCAATACATAGGTGCAAAGTCCTATTTCAAATTTGTAATGTTTCATGTTATTATTGTACTCCTTTATGAGGACTTTTCTTCCCTTATAATTCTTATGCAATTACTAAAAATGATCAGGGTAAATTTTCATACAACTTAAAAATTGTTTTCTTCATTTTAAAAGCAATTCTTCTATTGAATATTTGGATTAGAAAAACCTACTTGTAACTTTACCACTCTAGTCAATCACGGTTAACATTATTTAAAATTTTCACTTCCAGTTTGTTTTTCTAAGCTTTGTATTTGTATAACTGTGAGCATAGTGGACATACAATTTTGTATTCTGGTTTGCTCCTTAGTTAACGTAAGACGAGTACCTTCAATTTTTGTTTTAAGATGTATAGAGAATAGCTGATACCATCTGAGCAATCTTCTTTTCTCCCTTTCAATGAGGCATAGCATAAATATACCAGAGATCCTCACTATAACTGTGTTTGGGGATATATAATATTTTTTTTTGTTTGTTTTTTGGTCTCCCCCCCCCCCTCAATAATTTCTTTATTCTTTGTTTTGATATAATGTGACTATGACTCATTTCCTTAAGGGCCAACATTCTCTTCCAGAGTCAGTGCTGCCTATAATTCTTGTTTTGAAAAATTCACTTTGTCCCAATTGATACATTAGGGAGTAATTCGACTATAATACAAATTTTTTGTTTGCTTTTGTTTGCTTTTTTGTTCATGAGAAACACTAGGTAAATCCAGAAAACTGTTAACTACCTCAACCAAGCCACAGAGGAATACACAAAACATCTACCAGCTTACCTCATTGTGAGCCATAGCCATCTACATGTGGTATTAAACTTTCCGTCTAATTCCAAAAAAAAACCCCTCCTTTTGACACTTCATGTGAAAAAAAAGAGAGAAGGATCACTTTTAAAAGATGCTATATCAAATCTGTTGTTTTTGAGCTAAGATACAAAGAAGTTCAAACCTTTAGTCATCATTTGATTCTTATGCTTTCATAGGAGATTAAATAGACTCAAATTATTTGTTTGGAAAGTGAGTAATTTATTTAGAAACATATTCATCCAAAGATTTAAGGTGTTGTAACAGCTGTTAACTTTTTTCTACATGAAGCTTTCTGTATAACCATTGTCCTAAAACCAGTAGTTCTTGTTTGCACATATGTTTGGAGATCCACTGAGTCACAAGAAAGTTTCTCGGTTTGTTGGTCAGGGTGTCAAACCAAAAAAATCAGCCAAATTCTTTAAAGGTAAGAATTCTAGACTCAAGAAGACCAAATGTATCACTCAGTCGTTAAAAAGACAGTAGTCTTCTTGGGCTATATGTGACCTTTTCTAAAGAAACTTATCCCTTCTCAAGATCTTCTATTTCTAGATTGCCAGCATATTCTATATTTTACCAAATACTATAAGGCATACAATATCTGTGACACTTCTTATTAACACATTTTCCAAATGGACATGAAAGTCACAAAATGATAACTTAAAAGTAATTGAGATACTGGTACATTTTGTGGGCTGAATTCTTCCCTTGTGGATTTGTGAAATTTTTTTTCGATGTTGTAAATATTAGCTAAGATTTGTACAATATTTATTATGTACCAGACAATAGTCAAAGTACTTTTCATGCACGTTAATTCAGTTAATTCTCTAATAGAAGGAGATATTTTATTATCTCCATTTTACAAATGAAACTAAGGCACAGTGAAGTTTAATGACTTGTGTGAGATCAGACAGATATTAATTGACTGATTTTGTTAGCATGTATTGCTTTACCTCAGTAGTATTAATTTGTCTGGTATGGGTGGAATGTAGAATGATTCATAGTTTGATTTCACTTATTTTGACTTGAAGTAACTGGAAGGTACCAGTAACATAGGTTTTGTTTTTTGTTTTTTGTTTTTTTGAAAAGTAACATGCATATGTGGCCATGGATTTCACAGTCTACTCAATTTGTTCTAGCTACCATACAGTATCAGAAAATACTTTACTTTGTTCTAACTACAATGCAGTATTAGAAAATAACTTTTATTCTTATGATTTTGAGGGTCTAACAAGATCTAAAGTATCTTCATAATCATGAAAGAGAATTTATGCAATAATATTTGATGTCGATTTATTTTTAAGTGCATTTTATATATTATATTTCCTTGGAAATTAACCACTAATTTAAACACTATATTCTCTTTTTTCAGAGCTTTATTGAGATGCAATTCAAACACAATAAAATTCATCCTTTGAAAGTCTACAGTTCAGTGATTTTTAGTACACTGACAGTGTTGTACAACCATTATCACTGTCTAGTTCCAGAACTAACCCCACCCACCAAAAAAGGGAAACGTCATACCCATTCAGAAAACCTCCCAATTTTCTCTTCCCCCAGTCCTTAGAATCTAGTACTCTGCTGTCTGTCTTTATAAATTTGCATATGCTGGATAATTCATATAAATGGATTCAGATAATATTGTGGCTTTTTGATATGGCTTCTATCATATAACACAATGTTTTTAAGATTTATCCATATTGTAGCATGCCTGGATATGACACATTTTGTTTAATAATCAGTTGTTTCCACTTTCTGGCCGATGTGAATTATATTAGAATATATAATATAATATGCTATGTACAATCTGTGTGTAAGTTTTTGTGTGATTCCTTTTCATTCTTAGTACTCAGAAATTTTTCATATTGCTTAGTAGTAGATTTTTCTGAAAAAAAAAAAAAAAAAAACCAAAAATGGATGTTTATGTCAAATATTTATTGAATAGTTTTGAGGTGCAAGATATTGACTGGGAGATAAATGTTAAGATAATGAGTGTATAATTTTAGCTCTTACATCTGGTGGAAGGATGTTTTGTTTTTTGAATTTGTTTTGTCTAGCTCTCAGGTAGTGAAATTTGAGCAACCAGGTATATTTGATGAGATAACTGTCTCTTTTGGATAGTTCACTTTATTATACCAGAAATGAGCATGTACGATAGCCCCTAACTGGAAAAAATTAAATTTATAGTGAAATAAGTTATAAGCTATAACATATTAATATAAACAGTTACAATGCAGTCATTAGACTGATGCTGTTGAAAACCATTAATTATATAGGAAAATTATTACCTAGATATGTTAAATAGGGAGAGGGATAGCCTATTACCAAAAGTAAAATACAAAACAAAGTCTGACATAATATTACAAAGTGGTTCTTAACTTGGAATCTATTGATGAAATGCTAAAATTCTATGTAAAAGAATATAATGTTTATTTAATCTAGGAGAAGAGCTATATTTTTTCATCAGATTTTCAAAGGGATCTGTGATCCAAAAAGGTTAAGAACTACTATGTTATAATAAAATGTTTGTTAGTACTTAACTCTGGGTTGGTGGCATTACTAGAGATATTGATTTATATTTTTCATTTCCTAAAGTAAACATGTATCACAGTTTTAATAGAGGGTCTGAATTGATTTTGATCTTTAGTTGTTGCTTGTGGGTTTGTGTGCGCAGGTGTGTGCACTGCATGTGTGTTTTTTTAAAGGACAAAGAGAGAGAAGACCTGCACAGAGTAAGGGGCTGTTTTAAGGAATGGGAGTAGTGGTGGGGCATTGAGAATAAGGTAGTGAACCCTATTAAAAATATAAAATATATATTCTTTGGTTACTTAGGAATTTCATGATTTATCCAATACTTGTAAATATTTGATATCCATTCTAGAATTTTATTCATGAGTTTTGCATTTCTTGCAATTGCTAAGCTTTAAATATCTATTTTAGTGGAAAATTCCTCTGGCTGTAATCTCATAATGCTGTCAGTCTTGTTCTCAGTGATAGTTTAGAAAAACAGTTTTTTATTCCCTTGCACAACACCTCCTGGTTTTTCCACAGAAGATGTGAAAATTCCCAGTGTAGGGGAGAAACTTCCAGTAAATGGTGGTATTTATCTTTGCTGATACTGTTGTTGATTCTTTTCCCTTTTCTGAACATTATAGTTAATATTTTTGTAGCTATAGGCAGAAAGGGATTCTTTTTGGAATCTTATTAGTTAGAGATTTGTGTTAACAAATTCCTAAGTAGAATGTTACAAACTTTTTGGAATTAATGAAACAGTCTTTTACTCTGGGTATTTTGTATTGTACATATCTGGCCCTCAAAATAAATTAAAAACATTTTTGTTTTTAGAATAAACAGAGCTAAATTTGGCAATAAGATCAAGTAACACAGTTATTCATAATTAGGACAGTATTCTTTATAAACATAATACGAATGGAGATAAAGCACCAGTTTTGTTTTCCAATAATTATTACTTGTTTTGAATTTGTATAATAGTATCACTTATGTATCAACAAATCTAATATGAAGGATTTTTAAAATTGTTAGTAGGTTAAACTTTTTGAGATATTATTTTAGGCTTATAATCAAGACATACAAGTTATTAAGGAATATCCATATTTCTGGGTTTTTGTTTCTTTGTATTTGTCAGCATTGTGGTTTCTATTTGAGGAATCTTGTTTCTGATGCATAGAATTAGACTTTTTTTTAAGTAAAAAGAGAGCCTTTAAAGTAGTTCTGATGCTCTTCTTTAATATGATACGGTTTCAGTGATACCTTACTTTTGATTTTCTTCCTAACATTTTGTCAGTATTTCCCAGTCTTATTTGTAGTTTTTCCTTTCCTGTACTTGTTCTTTATCTGTTGGTGTTAGTCAGCTCTCTATCTGAGACTTTATTCTCTTTTTGTTCTGTGTATTTCTGCCAGAAATTTCCTTTACTCCATTGATTTCATTTTCTATGTATACATATGCTGATGGCTCCATATCATTAGCTCTATCCATGTATGGCCAATAGCTTTTAAATATCTACTTTTAGATATCACAGAAGCTTCCTAAACTCAGCGTGTTCAAAAGCAAACTTGTGAAACTTGATGGATTTTAGTAGTTGACATCAAAATTTCACTCTTGCTCGTCAGAAATCTGGACATTGTTTGTGACCCCCTTTTTTTTCACTACTTCATGTACATTTAATCATTTACTAAGACTTGTTGAGTTTATGTCCTGCATATCACCAGTGCCAACACACCGATCTAGGACACCATCATCTCTTACCTAGATAAATTATTATAATAGCTTCCAAACGGGACTCTCTGCCTCCAGTTTGCTCATTTCCATTGCATTTTGTTAAAATGGTTCTGTCACCCTGCTTTAATGGCTTACCATGACCTTTAAATGATGTGTGCACTAGTCTTCAAGGTATAGTGATACATAAGATGATGTTAGGATGCAGAACAAAAATATTAAAACTTATGTACTTTTTAATCTAAAAAGTACTAAGACATTTGTACTTAGTAGCTAGTACTGTGTACTAGTTGTTAACTCATTATACCCTTGCTCTGTATGTCAGATGGTCATTTGGTACTGGAGGTATCCGGAGAGAAGCATGCTTTGTTCATTTTCTGAATGTTGCACAATACTGTAATTTGACTGTTTAAATGGATTTATGAATTATCTAATTTAATACAAAGCGGATAAGTCTGGGGAGGGATTTAAAGAGAATATCAAACCAAGTATATAAATACAAAGATGATCACATGGTTGTTCACCTAGCAAGATACACAAAATCATATCTGTTCTTATAAATTAGAAAAAACATTTAAGCTTATTTTGGAATTTTGAGTCACACTTAAAAAAAAATTAATTCTTATTGTGAGGCATCTCTTTCTGCTTTGATAGCCATAAAAATCAAATATGCAAATTTATCTTAGAACTATCTCTTTGAATTTCTGTGTCACAGTAATAAGATCCTAAAAAGCATTGAAGCACATTTAATTATACTTTCATTAAAAATATTATAGTTAAGGTAGCAGAGTAGGTAAATGCTGTGCTTGCCTGTTCTCACAACCACATCAAAATTACAACTAAACTATAGAACACCCATCATTGAGAATCACTTGAAGTCTAGCTGAACAGAGTCCTACAACTAAGGACATACGTAAGAAGCCACCTCGAGACTGGTAAGAAGGGTGGGCTGTGGAACAAACTGGTACCACACCTGTGAGTGGCTATTAAAAATTGGGAGGGATAGTTCAGCCAGGGATGCCCTCCCTGAGGAGCAAGGGGTCCCAGTCCCACTCCTTGGCCCAGGGTTTCGGTGCCGGGAAGAGAAGTCCCCACAACTTCTGGCTGTGAAAACCAGTGGAGATTGTGGCTGAATAAAACAGAGGGCTGCTGGAGTCTTAGGAGTTCCTCTTAAAGGGTCTGCTCATGGACTTACATGGTGATGGACTCAATAGCTTTGTGTTCCAGCGTTGGGGCAGCAGCTTATGGTGGTGCCAGTGACATATGGGGAGGAACTGAGTTGGCTGGCTTTAGGGCAAGGGCTGGAGAGGCAGCATTCTCTCAGACAAAAGTGCTGAAAGAATCCATTGTTTCTTTGTTGAGTCCTCCCCCACTGCTTGTGTGCAGAAACAGGTGGCCATCATAGCTGAGGCTTCATCAACCTGGCTAACACTGGTCGTCCCAGCTGTGGAGAATCCTTGAGACCCCACCCCTACCCAACTTTCAGGAAGCTACTTCCAGTGGCTTTTTCGTACCAACAGCCTATCTTGGCTCATGCTACGGACTTTCCTAAAATCTCTCAAAGGTTCAGAAAACCCAAACAAGCAGTATCTGGCCTCACGGTGCACAATACTACCCCTTGCTGAGCAGCCCCAAGCCTGGCACTAGCAACAGCTAGCCTTGATTTGTGGTTTAACTTCTCGGGGTACCTCCAAACCCAGCGTGGGTGGCACCCATCTGCAGATTGCTTGGGGGCTCATTCCAAGTGGCCCCAGGCAGGGCGCACCGGCTGTGGCTGAACCTGGACTGTGGTTGGAGCGCTTCCCAGAGGCCCCAGGGACAAGCGTACCCGAGTGGCTGGCTTCCAACCTATCTGGAGCACCACCTGGCGTGCATCTGAAGATGACACACCTGAAGAGCAGACTGGGCAGGCACCAGAGCCTGCTAAAGTAAATCCTACTCCATAGGGTCAGCCCATGCACAACAGCTCCTCCACTGTAGTCATCAGCCATTCGTCATAACTAATCATCCTATGGGTCATTCTTTCCCATTGACATGCAAACAGCAACAAAGACTCAGCTACAATGGGAGGGCACATACAATGCATACAGGGGACATACCTGAAGCACCTGGCTCAGGAGACTGCCCCTGGGCCCCACAGGTCACCTACTACATAAAACACTCTGCTAAGACTGGAAGTCATAGCAGCCCTACCTAATACATGGAAACAAACACAGGGAGACAGTCAAAATGGGGAGACAAAGAAACATGTCCCAAATGAAAGAGAAAAAAGTTTCAGAAAAAATATACAAAATGGAGACAAGCAATCTACTAGATGCAGAGTTCAAAACACTGGTTATAAGGATGTACAATGGACTTATGGGAAGAGTAGATGTACTCAGTGAGAACTTTAACAAAAAGATAAAAACATAAAAATGGAAATAGAAATCATAAAAAAAGAACCAGTCAGAAATGAAGAATACAATAACAAATGAAGACTACATTAGAGGGAATTAACAATAGATTAGAAGCAGAGGATCAGATCAGTAATTTAGAAGATAAAGTAGCAAAAAACAATCAGAACAGCAACAAGAACAAAGAATTAAAAAAAATGAAGCTAGTTCAAGGGACCTTTGGGACAACATCAAGTGTACAAACAACATTTGCATCATAGGGGTACCAGGAGAGAAGAGACAGGTGTATTCTTTGATTGAAAACCTAGTTGAAGAA